ACTAGCAATGCTTTCTGTGTTTCTTGACAAGGAAACACCTCAAACAATTTTTCTATTCCAAGGACCCATCATTCTGCCTTTAATGGATCCAATCCTCTATGAAATTGCGGCGGTTTCATTTTCTTGAATTCTTTGGTAAGACCTATTGTCCGGTCATCATTCTGTAGGTCTTGCATAAGCGGTTCCGGAGGTGGAGGAAGAGGGTGTGGTTGTTGCTATTGTTGTCGCCACTGTTATTGTCTCAATGTTTCTATCATTTCCTGAATCAATCTTTCCATCTTATCCATTCTGGCAGTAGAGGACTCCTCTAATTCATCACCTCTTGGTCTCACCATTATTTGATTAAACTTGCATTATTCTTTATACAAAAATATTCGCAAGTACGCATATACAAAAGAGCATACATATTCAAATAATTCACAATGTAAGTATCACAAAACATATAGCACATAGTCATTCATTTCGAAACATTTAAGCATATTCTCAATGTCTTCAAGTTCATACTTATTACATGAATGCATCCTAGATCTTTTCTATATGCTTATTGCTCATTAGGACAAGTGTGTAAGTTATTGACTCGTGCTCTGACACCACTCTGTCATGACCCGATCCCGCTCCTAAGGATTAAGGTCATAACCGGCCAACAATCATGAGATTATCTACGGCCTCAAATAATTTCAAAAATATTAAAGGGGGCCAAAACGGAAGCAGATTTAAAATCTTTGTCCAATGAGTTGTGCTTACATGGTTTAGCAAAATCATTCTAAACGCATTTCATAATAACTCACACATATAAATAGAGTTAACATCTTATATACATCAAGGAACATTCAGATATACAGCTAGCCAAACAAAAACTTATATATATAGGTGTTTCAATGTGTCCACCAAAATAGCAAAAGAGTAACAAAAGAACAAAAGGGACAAAAACAGAGTCTCGTGTGTGAGACATTCGAGCTGACTCCTTAAAAACTTGACTTTCTCTCATAAACTTCACCGAGGCTAGGTTTGGACGTCTCTTTACTCACCTACATACACATGAATGAGAGTGAGCGAAACCCCAGTGAATAATATCAAATAAGGAAGTTACATGATTGAAAATTTGTCAGCAAACATATCAAATGGCCTTAGGCCCATTCATGTCTCTATCTAATATAATAAATGGCCTTAGGCCCAAACGTATCAAGTGGCCTTAGGCCCAATTCATTCTTGTCAAATGGCCTTTAGCCCAATCACTTCTATCAAACGGCCTTTGGCCTAATCATTTATGTCAAACCGCCTTTGGCCCAATCATTTATGTTAAACAGCCTTTGACCCAATCATTCATGTAAAATGGCCTCTGGCCCAATCATTGCTATCAAATGGCCTTTAGCCAAATCATTCATGTCAAATGGCCTTTGGCCCAATCATTCATGCCAAACGGCCTTTGACCCAATCATTCATGTCAAACGGCCTAAGGCTGCCCAATCATTCATGTCAAACAGCCTTTGGCCTAATCATTCATGTCAAACGGTCTGTGGCTCAATCATTTCTATCAAACAGCCTTTGGCCCAATCATTCGTATGACAAATATCCAATTCAATTTAATAACTCTATAGAACTCATACACAAGTAAGCATTTGGAAGTAGCATACTTCAATACATTCTTATTAAGATATTACTCATAATGTTCTGCCGGTGGATTTGCCCTTGCACTTGACCCTACACATTTCACAACATATTGGGTCACAAGCGATTCAATTCATTCTCAATTTGTTTATTTCTCTTAGGCCTTTTTCTTATCCTTTTAACTCATTTATAATGTTCAATGCATGCCTAAGAACATGGTTTAGCAAAATCATTCTAAAGGCATTCCATAATAACTCACACATATAAATAGAGTTAACATCTTATATACATCAAGGAACATTCAGATATACAGCCAGCCAAACAAAAACTTATATACATAGGTGTTTCAATGTATCCACCAAAATAGCAAAAGAGTAACAAAAGAACAAAAGGGACAAAAACAGAGTCTCATGTGTGAGACATTCGGGCTGACTCCTTAAAAACTTGACTTCCTCTCATAAACTTCACCAAGGCTAGGTTCGTCTCTTTGCTCACCTACATACACATGAATGAGAGTGAGCGAAAGCCTAGTGAATAATATCAAATAAGGAAGTTACATGAATGAAAATTTGTCAACAAACATATCAAACGGCCTTAGGCCCATTCATGTCTCTATCTAAAACAACAAATGGCCTTAGGCCCAAACGTATCAAGTGGCCTTACGCCCAATTCATTCTTGTCAAATGGCCTTTAGCCCAATCACTTCTATCAAACGGCCTTTGGCCTAATCATTTATGTCAAACGGCCTTTGGCCCAATCATTTATGTTAAACAGCCTTTGACCTAATCATTCATGTAAAATGGCCTCTGGCCTAATCATTTCTATCAAACGGTCTTTGGTCAAATCATTCATGTCAAACGGCCTTTGGCCCAATCATTCATGTCAAACGGCCTTTGGCCCAATCATTCATGTCAAACGGCCCGTGGCTCAATCATTTCTATTAAACGGCCTTTGGCCCAATCATTTGTATGACAAATATCCAATTCAATTTAATAACTCTATAGAACTCATACACAAGTAAGCATTTGGAAGTAGCATACTTCAATACATTCTTATTAAGATATTACTCACAATGTTCTGCCGGTGGATTTGCCCTTGCACTTGACCCTACACATTTCGTAACATAACGGGTTACAAGCAATTTAATTCTTTCTAAATTTATTTATTTCTCTTAGGCCTCTTTCTTATCCTTTTAGGTCCTTTACAATGCCCAATGTATGCCTAAGAGTGCATAGAAATCAAAGAAAACGGAAAACAAAACACAAAAATGACTTTTCAAAATTTCTTCAACAAGTCTCCTCGCTCGAGTGGACCCCTATGGTCTGTAAAAGTACTGGTTGCTTGCAATTTACGCTCGAGCGAGGAGTCATTTAAAGCAAGGTACGCTTGAGCGCAGATTCGACCGCTTGAGCCACCGTGCTATTTTTGCAAAACTTCTGGGAGCTACAATTTCACGCTCGAGCGAGGCCTTTCTCGCTCGAGCAAAACCCAGAATTCTGTTTGAAGCTCACACTTGATATTCGAAGGTCCAAAGCTCGTGTATGGGAACACATTACATAACATGAGAACACAAGCAATATGAGACCAATTGTTCAAAACTATGGTCCATTTCCAAAATCATTCCCAATTTCCCTCATCAATTTCAAAACTCATGCATTCAACGTTATACAAACTTTATATCTTCATCAATCATGCATGCATGTTAATTTTTTACTTTAATTCTATTTCAAATGGCACAAATGATGCTTATAATCATGAAGCTCGTGAAAATTATGTATGCATGTATGACTTGATGCTATATTCTTCATGTTTCAACAATCATCTACTAAATACAAACATAAGTCTTTAGAATTAAGCTTCACACCATGACAATTCTTACATCCATGTTTAATTTGACTTCAAATTCATCATGTATAGCTTAATTCTTGTTCTTTATTACTAATTCTCTTTTGAATTCATATAATCACAATTCAAACTCATGAATCAAGAGTTAGATACCTACCTAGAGGCCCTAATCCCCCAAAATTCAGTCAATTCCTTGAGTCTAGCTTCCAATTTCCAAGCCTTAAGCCAAAATTCACAATCTTGCCTCTACTCTCTCTCTCTGGGACCGTTCCCCCCTCTCTCTAGAGTGTGTACCAGATTTTTTAGCATAAAAAAATGGTGAGCTTAAGTGTAAATAGGCCATATATACACTTGCTTAATCAACTTGTATTAACGCTAATTAATTAAGCTTAAATTAATCAATTTAATCTAATTATTTTTATCCGAATCAATTTTTAATCAAATTTCACCATAGGTTCTAAAAATTATGGTGCTCATAATAAACCAATTTTGGTTTTCACAGCCGATAAGGTCTTCAATTTTCAGTTCAAAGCATAGATTCTAACAGATTTTCCTACGGTGAACAAATGGAAATGCGAAAACACATATAATCATATAAATGGCACTCAAGATCATATCAAGCACATCACCATAATCATAATTAAGGTTAATTAACATATCACAGAGCAGGGTTATCACGCAACAAGTGCGCCGACATACTCGCCAAAATGGGTTCAGACCAAACGGATCAGCTTATGATCATGGAGGAACCTTCTGTTGAAGTTATAAGTCAGCTAGTGGCTGAAATGATTGGAATAGCTTATCGAAGGATTTAATCCCCGATTTGCCTTCCTGCTATATGTTGTTTTCCTTTGTTTTGTCTTTCATTTCCGATGTACCAAAAAAAAAAAAAACGAGGTCATGTTAAGGTCGAGATTTTGGGCGCTGCAGACACATTTGAGAAAACAACAAATAATTCAAAATATATATATATATATATAAAGTCTCTCCTAAAAGTAGTCTTGGATTTCACTTTTATGAGTGGAATGGGTGATAAAACTTTAAAGGTATATTACAATAAACTCCCTTATACTATAATTCATATATATTTTATCCCGCTAAACTTTAAAACTCAACAGTTAATCAGTTCAAAATATTATCTTGTTACAGTTAACCCAAATGGTGAGCTTAGGTGTAAATAGGCCATATATATACACTTCCTTAATCAACTTGTATTAAGGCTAATTAATTAAGCTTAAATTAATCAATTTAATCTACTTATTTTTATCTGAATCAATTTTTAATCAAATTTCACCATAGGTTCTAAAAATTATGGTGCTCATAATAAACCACTTTTGGTTTTCGCAGCCGATAAGGTCTTCAATTTTCAGTTCAAAACACAGATTCTAACAGATTTTCCTACGGTAAGCAGATGGAAATACGAAAACACATATAATCATATAAATGGCACTCAAGATCAAGCACATCACCATAATCATAATTAAGGTTAATTAACATATCACAGAGCAGGGTTATCACGCAACAAGTGCGCCGACATACTCGCCAAAATGGGTTCAGACCAAACGGATCAGCTTATGATCATGGAGGAACCTTCTGTTGAAGTTATAAGTCAGCTAGTGGCTGAAATGATTGGAATAGCTTATCGAAGGATTTAATCCCCGATTTGCCTTCCTGCTATATGTTGTTTTCCTTTGTTTTGTCTTTCATTTCCGATGTACCAAAAAAAAAAAAAAAAAAAGAGGTCATGTTAAGGTCCAGATTTTGGGCGCTGCAGACACATTTGAGAAAACAACAAATAATTCAAAATGTATATATATATATATATAAAGTCTCTCCTAAAAGTAGTCTTGGATTTCACTTTTATGAGTGGAATGGGTGATAAAACTTAAAAGGTATATTACAATAAACTCCCTTATACTATAATTCATATATATTTTATCCCTCTAAACTTTAAAACTCAACAGTTAATCAGTTCAAAATATTATCTTGTTACAGTTAACCCTTTTTATTAGGAATTTGTTAGGTATTTACATAAATCAAATCATGTGTAAAGTAATCATACATTTATTGAATTTGTAAGCTTATAATGTTTTTATCTAGTGATGTCATTTGCACTTTGCCATTTTGCCACTAAGATAAGAAAGACAAAGTGCAAATGAGATCACCCAAAAATGGAATTATTATTCTAAAAAAAATCAATAACGGATATTATTGTCATAAAACATCATTAAGTGTGTCATGTGCTTCATACATGACCTAATTTCGTTTAAATCTCTAACATAATCCTAAAAAAAAGTGTCATGTGTAACAAAATAATGATTCAATGTGATTAACTGTTGAGTTTTGAACTTCAAGGGAGTAAAGTGTAAATGAATCATAATTTAAGTGGATTTACTATAATATCCAAACTTATTAGATATTTGCAAGGAGATTGAGGAAATTCAATTCCTTCAAGTACTAATCTAACAACTAACCCAAAACTTTCTTTAATCCCAAAAAAAAAAATTGGTGTACGTTATTTTAGTTGATTATAGCTTATTTTATTTTCAGAATTTGTGTTAAATTGTTTAGTACAATTTCTATCTACAGCTTATTAGACAAAATTATTATAAAAAATTGAAAATTTTTAATTATTTAATATCGAGAGATAAATATTTTTATTTTTTATTTTTTTATTATTAATTTTTAACTTACACTAAATTGCCCAAAACATACAACTGATAATATTTTGCCAGGTTGCCCGTCAATCAAACTAGTACTTCATTTGCATCGAGGCTATTCAATATTACGTTTATTACATTTAATATTATAATTATTGCACAGTAATATTTAAAGGTGGACAAACTCCGAGTTGGGCTGGGTTTGGACTTGGCTTGCACTATATAGTAAGTGTATAAGAGCATCTTCAATGGAATGATTAAAAAAGTTTGCTAAAGTATGTTATATGACAAAAAGTGTGAATAGTGAAACTCATTTGTATGTGTCAGGTATTTGTTAGTTTAGAGAGTGAATGTGTATTTCAATGGTGTTGTTAAAGTGTGCATTATGTAAGAATAATATATATATATATATATATAAATTAAAAAAATTTAAATAAAAAAAAAGGGTCATTCATTTCCCTCATTTCTTCCTTACATGTCATGCACTACCCTCCTGGCACGGATTGCCTTGCAAAGTCAACTCCGTGACGTTTTGCTCGCGGTGGTGTGACCATTTGAGTGCTCAAGAGTGGTCCTTGGAAGTGACTAAGTGATGGGCATCAAGATTCCAAGTCAGTGATTCGATGCATCACCCCAAGGTTGGCCCCAAGAAGCCCATTGCATACATGCCACCAAGCAGCCAACGCCTCAGCCCAGGCCGCTCGCAAGCTGCCTGCTAACCTGAGCTGCGGCCCAACAGCAGCCATCAAGGCAGAGTTTTTTAGCGCATTATTTGAGGGTCCAAATAAAGGAATTTTGGGCTAAAATTTTAATTAGAAAAACATCCAGGGGGAATGTTTTCCCGACAAAGTTTCATGATTTTTCTCAATTTGTGAAATTTTTGAAAAATCATTTTAACTCCTCAAGTGTAGGACATGTTTCCTCTTGCTAGTTAACAAAAGGTTTTAAAAGCATATATAAGGGGGTATGTGTGCTTCATACCTGCCTCTCCGCCCAAATTGGGCTTGAAGTGAGCAACCTTGGGGCAACTCAAGGGTGGGCTTTAGGCATGTAGAGGGGTGTCTAAACTCTCTACGTAGATTTGGGAGCCCCGTGGACGATGCAAAAATGTAAGCACTGCGGGTGCCTTCCGGGCGCGAGGTTTAATACATTGCTTCCATTATGCCACGCCTTATGGCATCTTGGGACTCATTTTAGACTGAATGGGCTATCGAGGCACCACTAAAGGCCTCGTGTGCTAACTCAAGTGATTGGTTTGGGTTCAATATTGCACATGGGGATCCTATGGCTTAAGCAAAGTGATTGGAAGGAAACACCGCATATGTGGGCTATCAAATGAAAGCATCAAACTATATATTAACTAAATCCATTGAGTGATGACATTATGCTGCAAACGAGCTACGGATTGGGATGTTGCCTTACTAGAGCAACACGTTGGTGCAACACTAAAGTGCGCAACGGCCTTAGGCGGAATCTAACACAAGTGTACGCATGAAGACTACGCCGTGGGCAAGTTATTGACCCTCAGTGTCTTGTGGGTTTTACATGACCATGTGGCTATGCGATATGCATCAATTGAGGCATGCTTGACCTTGTGAAACTTCGAGATGCTGCCAAAGACCCAACACACTATGTTGACTTGTCATCTAAGTCAAAGGGTTTTGTAAGTATACTGTTGTGTAGTTAGGCACCATGATGACATAAACCTAAGTTAGGCGAGCATCTTGATTCAGATAAGCTTGGCACTATGTAGTGACTTGTGCCATACTTGGTGCACTTGAGGCATCAAACCTACTTGTGGCATCTGGGTGAAGACGGAGCTTCCTATGGGAGTTGTTACGCTTGACAAAACATTGGGCCCAAATATTCAAACCGGTGAGATCATCAACACTTGATTTGTCAATGAGCAATGGCGAGCTTAAACTTGGTGGAGTTTGAGCCCCACACGAGCGAAAAATTGTTCTGCTACGCCTTTAAAAGAGTCGGCCCATGACACCTCCCTCCACCATTTCTTCCTTTGCTAACACAAGTCAACAACCAAATCCCTTCATTTTCTCTATCTTCTCCCTCTCTTCTCCATGTTAGCTAAAAGGATGGTTGCAGTTAGCAAACAACTTAACAAACAATCAAATTAACCATCAAGTTAACAACATCATTGGAGCACAAAAATCTTGCTAACTATTGGTCTCAGCTAAGGTATGACACCAGCATACCAGCATTGGGTTTAACAAACCCATTGGAGATTATCTAAATGTCATCCTAAGTCAGCCTGACCTGACATCGGACCTAATCTATTCATCGAACCTAATCTATTCATTCCAAGTCCAGTCATAAAAAAAATAAAAATTAAAAAATTAAATCCCAAGTCTTCACCCATATAACCCAATAAATATGAACTATTTTATTTTCATATTGAATGAATATTAAATTATTTAAATTCTTTTATTTATTATTTGAATTTAGAATGTTAACAAAATTCAATACTAAAATAAATTTTTTTTTTAACCAATGTTTTAATTTAAGTCCTAAAGGTATATATATATATACATATACTTTTTATCTTTTATATTTTTCTACTTTATTTTATAACTAAAATAATATAAAATTGTAACTAATATTTTATAAATGGGTGGGTTGGGTTGAGTTAGATTTTTTATTTATTTATTTAATTTCAGTCTAAATATTAAATGGGTACAAAAATTTAATCCATTTTTACAGGCTGTTTTCTTTGAAATTTAAAAATCTCAAATTGCATTGACCGATTGGGCAGGGCATAAAACTTATGGGGACCCTAATATCAACGGAAGACAAAAAAGACTTAAGATCTTGTTTGGTTGTTTGATAAACCCCATTTGGGTTTCTTCGTTTTTTCCCAGAAAAAATTCAAATAATTGGAAAGAATGTTCAAATTGATAAATTAATGATGTCAGAAATCTACATTTTGTACTCATAAATATATCTATAATAATATAACAAATATTGTGGGTCTCATATAAATTGAATTGTGAAAGATTTAGGAGATTTAAACATTTTTCGTAAACAAATGGGTCCTACCCTAACGAACTTGATATCACTTTTATTCTGTACGTGGATAAGGAAGATTTTACACGAATTGACGGAGTAGCTCATAGTACCACTGAAGTCATTCGTCTGCTGTTGATGTTTTTTGAGAAAAATTATTATTCGATGTAATTTTAAAGGGATATTAATAGATTTATTGAAAAAATTATAATTATTAATGTTAATAAAATTATAATTAATATTTTTTTTAGAAATATTTGCCTTGTTTTTTTCCAATTGGATTCTCAAACTGAAGCCTTGTCCTTCATGAATTGCAGCTGTGGTGGGAAATGGCTTTATAGCCAAAGGGATCACATTCGAAAACTATGCCGGTCCAAGCAAACACCAAGCAGTGGCTTTTCGGTCGGGCTCAGACTTCTCAGCATTCTTCCAGTGCAGCTTCATAGGCTACCAAGACACTCTCTACGTCCACTCCCTCCGACAATTCTACCGCGATTGTGACATATATGGAACCGTCGACTTCATTTTTGGAAACGCCGCTGTTGTTTTCCAGAACTGCAATTTATACGCTCGCAAGCCAGACGATAACCAAAAAAACATTATCACCGCTCAAGGAAGAGATGACCCATTTCAAACCACAGGGATTTCAATCATAAGTTGCAAAATTGCCGCTGCATTGGATTTAATTCCTGTGCAATCATCGTTTAAAACATACCTTGGCCGACCCTGGAAGCAGTATTCGAGGACTGTTTATCTTCTGTCGAATATCGGCGATTTGGTTGACCCTGCCGGATGGTTGGAATGGTCCGGTAATTTTGCATTGTCGACGCTTTATTACGGGGAGTACAAGAATAAGGGTCCGGGTTCAAACACAAGTGACAGAGTGACCTGGCCAGGTTATAAGGTTATAAGCAATTCCACTGAGGCTAGTCAGTTTAGTGTTGGGAATTTTATTTTGGGGGATGATTGGTTACCAACTTATAACATTTCGTACTCTCGCAATTTGACTAGTTGAGTTGAGAGGTGAATTGATTATGCTCATTGATTTATTGGTATTGTTAATTTGTTGTATGATTGAATGAAATTGTATTATTCAAAAATGATTTAGAGCCATCATTGAGAAAATGGGTTAGGGTTTTGCATGGGTAGAAGATATGTTAAAGTTATCACCGAGGGTGGTGGGCTAGTGGAAAAGGCATCCTTCTCCACAGGCGTGACCCAGGTTCGACTCTTGGAGGAGTGAAATATTGGGTAATTCCTGTGGTTCTCTGCGGAGATCTCGCTCTGTATGCTGATCAAATCATGGACTTGTCTGTGGTATATGGTTGAGCTCCGCTGGTGCTTTGTTGGTGTGTCCCTTTTTATGGATTGGATTAAATCAGGCTGGGTTATCTCGGAGCCCGAGCCTACGAATACAGTGATAATACTTCAGAACATCTTTTTCACTATTCAAAAAAGAAAAAAGAAATGTTGAAGTTAAGAAATAAGAGGCTTTTGTAATCTCATGTATTGAAATGCAACTTTTCATTTCAGCAGTGTCAATTGTAATAGAGAATTTAAATTAAATATTCTAGGGTTTAATACGGACAAATGATACATATCAAAATTTTGTTATTCTAATATTAAAGGATTTCATCTGATATTTTTTGGGTTCATGATAAAAAATTGAAGGTTTTAGAGCCTACTGTTCTTAAGACAATCTCTAGCAGCTACAAATAAACATTAATATTAACAAATAAACACACTTGGTAAGGTGGTTGGGTTCCATGTCCAGTATTCATCCTAGAATTGGGCCTAACTGGGTTGGTCCAAGCTATGATAATCCAAAACTGGGAATTGGTCTAGTTTGCTTCCATTTTAACTCTTTTGTTCTCGTGGTTTGGGCTTGAATCTGGGCTAGTCTTAAGCAATTCTTGGACTTATCTTCTGTGTATATAAGACATTGGCTTCTTTTCTCACAGGCTTGAGTCAAGTTAAAAATGGAGCCCTCAACTATTAGTAACAGTGACATCCATTAGCTAAAATAAGCTAGAGTTAATTACACCAACTCCTCAACTATAAGTGAGTATCAATTTATCATTCTTAATTATGAATTCGTACATTTTGAACTGTTTAATTATGAAAATATATCACTTTCAACTCTCTAGGCTATCTTAAAAAAGGATGCATTTGTACAATTTTTAAAGCAATTTTTAAAGTTGAGAGTTCAATGTGTACAGCAAGTTTATGAATGATAAAAGTAAAGTGATATTCGTTAATAGTTGAAAAGGTTTTGATATAATTAGCCTAATAAACTTTACAAGATTATATTTGCATTCACCAGTTGTCAATTTAAACCCTCATACTTATCCTTCTTTTTAATTATTTATAATTCTCTACCATGGAGAAACCAAAAGAAAAAAGCAAAAAAATCCATGGAGAGACTATGTGATAAACAAATTGATTATTAATATTTACAGTGAGATCTATACATGTTTTACTACTTAGAATAAAATAAAAGTGGCCATAATGTGTGACAATGACATTTTATTCAAAACCATATAATGCCATATGAAGCCTCACCCTATACTGCAACTCCCGATGGGTTCAAGACAAAATATTTTTGTTACACCCAATTCATTCTGTTTTGTTTGGTTCTTTCAAAATTAGTTTACTGTATCGACTCTAATAACCAATCAAAAGGGAATTTTATAGATTGGGTGAACAAAATCAGAATTGTTCAACAACCTAGGATTTTAGAAGTAACCAAAATCACAACTTAGGATAACAAGGTGCATTACAAAGAAGTCTATTGTAAGAGTTGAGGTGATCTCTTATCTTGTGCTAATGTCTCTGCTCAACTCTCAATTGTTACTTGATGCAACTTTCAAATTTTCTTATTTCCTTAATCATTTTCTCAAAAATAAATAAACAATAATAATAATAATGAAGTCAGTCATCGCAATCTTAGACCATTCATTATCCACGTAATTGACCAATAGTTCAAAAGATGCTCCATGGCGAAAGATTTCTCATAAGGCGAAATTATTTAATACTTTTAGAGTAAGTTTAAGTGGTATTTCAAGTTAATAACTACTGATCTATATCGTAGAACTCATTACTTTTTTTATTTGAGTTCTAGGAGATAATGTGCAATGTCTCGAACAATAACTGAAATGGAAGTATTACTTCAATAGTATGAAATAATTTCTTTTGAAGGGAGGGATTGGTTTGGGATGTGAGTTGACTTTTTAGCTATTTTAACTTGAGATTAAAAAGTTTCGTTTGGAATAAGCTATTTGGTTTTTTTGACTTTTGTGAGAGAAAAAATAAAATAATTATGATTTAAATGTGACATTTTATCTTATTAATTTTTTAGTCTATTTTATTTTTTGTGATTAAAATAGCCAAAAAACCTAGCGTTTTGGCATGCCAAATAAAGGCTTAATGTGGTTGATGTAAAGCACCTATCCTACTCTGGAAATTATTCAATACTCTTTGATCAAGCTTATGTATACACTGGTTGTTTTGAGAAATTGTTTAAAAGTTGATTTTTTCACTTTTTTTTTTTTTGAAAAAATATGTAAATAAATGGAGAAGTGATGTGACTCAAAATAGGTTAAAAGTTAAAAATTAACTTTTAACCAAGTTTTCAAATTAGGCCTAAATAAGTAGTTATTGATTAAAATTATGAGACTAAATACTTTTATATTAAAATTTTACGAAACAAACTATTAAGTGTCAATTTATAAATGAAATTAGCGGGTGACACACTTGATGAGTGTGTAATTCAGATAACTAAGAATACAAATAAATAATAAAAAATTAGTATTATAATATGTATGTTGTCTAAGAGATTTGCTTGTTTGGTTCCTATTTTTAGGATTTACTTTTAAGAAAATTAAAATTTTGTTTTTTTTTTTTCATATATTCTAAGAATTTTTTTTTTTAATTTTTAGATATACCTAACATAAATACACTTAAAAAATATAATATCTGTGAAAAAAATCTTTAGAATATTCACTAAATATCAAAATATATAAAAATTCAAAACACTTTGCGTATTCTTGTATATTTATTAATTTGTTTAAAATAATTTTTTTTTATAAATATTTTTACTTTTTTAGATAATCCAGTAATAGTGATCTAAAAAAGTAAAAAAAATGCTGAAAATTTTAAAAAAATATTTACTAAAAAAATAAACTACAATTTTTAATTGTATCAAAAAATTGAAACAAAACACAATAAATAGTATCTAATACTATATATATTATAATCAAATGTGTTATATAATCTAATCACTATAATATTAAGCAAAAGGAGATTTTTAACTCCAAGTTTTGTGGGAGCTCCAATCTTCCATCTAAATTTCCTGATTTTTTGAATTTAAAAAAAAAAACCTTAGTATTTATTTTATGCATGTCACTGCAGCTCAGAGATCATCGAGGCATCAGACGCAATACACTTTAATTGGCGCAATTAAAACAGGCGGATACTACATTGGGCGGATTACCGCAGGGGTTATTGGGCTTACGTACGGATGATATATATTCATTGGTTTCGTAAATACGTATGAAATTCCTGAAAAGTCCCCAAACACAGTATGAATTTTATCAAAATATTAGATGAGTTTTAATGGAGTAGTCTACGATATAACACGCATGAAGAAGACATTAGGAGAACCATATGTTATTTCCAAGATTGTATTAACTGTTAACTAAATAATGAGATGTAGAAGAAAGGAAACAAAAATAAGACATTTAAAATAAAAATAAAGAAGAACTATTTAAAAATTGCACATTCACTATATAGTTAACTAGCACCTATTCGACCCGTTGGCAATGCACTGTGAGATAATTATAGATATTATATTTGTTTTCATTTTTTTTAAATATATAAATTAGTGCTTTTTTAAATTTTTATAAAATAATTATAACAATCTTATCAACCCTGACCAAGTGTATATGGAAAGATATTATAAAAAATGCTTACTGTCATGTTAATCTATGTACGGGCTATATCTATAATTATTTGTATGAGAAGAATTTTAAATGTGATCAGGAAATTTTGAGCTCAAATCAATAATGGCAGGCAATGTAGAAGACATGCTGAATTGAAAAAAGTTAATAAATGCTGATAAGGGATTTAGACTAAATCAGATATAATGCTGAGATTTTTTTTTTTTAATAAAAAAATTTAGAAAATTCAGATTGGGAATGAAGGTCCCAACAGGCCTTGGGGATTAAAAATCCATTTTGCTTAAATATAGTGTATCGGAGCCTAATCATGGCCTACCCGTGCGCTATGCACGAGAGATAGGTTATGATACATTATGGCGGGGAGGTGATGTAGAGGTCAGATTTTTGGTTATAAGATAAGTAGAAGTAAAAACAAGATTACATAGTTTGTATTATAGAGATTGATTATCTATGATTGAAAGTAATATGATATTAGGGGAATCTTGATCACTACCGATAGTGGGTAAGGAGTAGGAATGTGAAAAAAGGACAGATTGAGAGGATAATAACTCAGTTTGTGATTAGATAGTAATTTTTGTTTATACATGAGAGAGTGATGTAAGCACTATGGGACATAATCATGTACTCTTATATATATTGTGAGGAGTGTTAGTTTAATGTATGTTATGTTAGATGGATTAAGCAGATAAAATCCTCTATCAAGATAAGATCTCATCACAGACGTTGGTTCTTATTACAAATCCCCGTGTATAGTTACTGCAAGTACCTTTTCGAATTTCTCTCATACACCTATGGTTAGTGATAAGTTGTCTAAATTAGTTTTTATAAAATCTTAAAAACCATAATTTATATATTAAAATAAAAAAAAAAATTCTAAAACAATAATACATATCTAATTCATTCGTGCATAGCACGGGTGATAGGCTAGTACTTATATTAAGCAATAATGGGATTATTTAATCCCAAATGGCCTGTGGGAGCTTCAAATATTCCTCAATCTGAATTTTCTAAATTTTTTATTAAAAAAAAAAAAACTCAGCATTTAATTGGAATTTAGTCAAAATCCCTTATCAGCATTTATTAACTTTTTTTCAATTCCATGTCTTCTACATGCATGATTTATTGATTTGGTCAAAATCCTG